AACTATGAAATAGAACTTAAAAGTACAAAAATATTAGTAATATGTTTCTAAACAGATGCACACCTGGTATTCGGGGCAGAAAAATTATTTGTAGAGTAAGATGATCTGGCATATAATGCCCCTGGTCCCCCCTAATTAATGTCAGTAGTAACCCCATGTCAGTGTGACAACCAAAGCCATCCCTAGTAGAGCAATACCACCAGGCTGAGAACTACTGCCAGACAAAAGCAGCACTGTGATACAGTAAAAAAAGAGTTGTAACTTGACAGACCTTATCTATAATAGGGAATTATAAAGCTTTCTTATCATTATGTTATTACAATACTAGACTGGTGCCAGGGACTTAGAGACACACTCAACAATGTTAGTTCTAGAAAGCACAAACATATCTTCTTCTATCAAGTTAGTTTTACAACTTTAGCTTCCAAAGCTATTTCAGAGTGAATTAAGTTTTACATTTTCATTTGATATGCTATAAAAAGTGCTTTACTACAACTTACCATTCAAGAATATACAGTGGTGAGCAAACATAGATTTACAGTGGTGAGTAGGCAAAACAAAGTTAATAAAGCAATTGTAATAATTATAACCTGCATGCCTTTTTTCATACAAACAACTTAAGATTTGGCAAATATTAAGTCAATAAATGTTGAGTTTAGTCTTAAAAAGGCATTTAAAAGACTCTGAAAATTAAGGCCTGGAAATTGGGGATATGATTGTAATAAAATATATACTGCAACAGAACTTTTTCTCTCCCTGATGCAGTCCTTCCAACTTGAAGACTTTAATTTTCCCTTAAAAAACCAGGAATATAGTATTCTATCAATCTCCAGTTGAAGGTCAGAAAAAGTCATAGCCCAGGTCCAGGACAGGACATTAAAGATCCAATGAAAAACATTTTTAACAAACTCCTTCCAAAAGACTTTTCACAAAATATTAGTAATGACTACTAGTTTATCCTTCTAATTCTGTTTGACTAAATCAAAACTTACAACCTAAATTGAGCTCTTAGCCAAGTTAAAAAGAAAAGGTACATTTTCCACCTTCAGTCAACTATATCTTTAAAGACAGTTCAGATATGAAATAGTAGCACAAATTAATCTGGCAGTCAATTACAGAACTTTAATTTTAACTCTGATATGTTTAACCTATACTTATGCTCACATTTTTTACATATAATATAAACAAATCAATCAAAACTAACAGACAAAGCTATTTTTAGTATGTGAAAACATGTTAAAGAAAACTGCTACTATCATTCTAAAAGTTCTCTTGATTCTAAACAGAGACTGTTCAGTCCATCATATGACCTCACTGGCTAGGCGTTTTCCAGTACTTACTCATACACTGGAACTGTACACTAAAAATCATCTGAATATCTCAGGAAGTTAGAAAAAAATTTTCAGAATATTTCTAAGGTTTTAAGTCCAGCATATTCAAACACTTCAGGCTTTTAAAAAACCTTATTATCTATATGAGGCAAAGAGGAATTACATCTCTTACGTTTCCTGAAATTGATATATTTAAAATAATAATTTTAACTAATAATTATTAAAGTATGTTAAATATTCTACATGCCACTAATCAAAACCAATGCTAAACTAGAAAATTATTTCTTAATTTTTCAATTTTTACAACCAATGTAATACTAATAGACATTAGAGGAAATACATTTTTAAGACTAATAGGATATATTAAGAAATTACAAATGTAGAATAGTGTATACAATATGCCGACTGTCTACGAATGGGGGAAATATATTCACATGTGTGTAAAGAAACAATGAAATGATATAAAAGAAACAAAAGTGGTTACCTAGAGGATTGGGGGTGGGGGGGGTGGGAGGAGGATAGGAGTTTGTCAATGTTCATCTTTCAAGTTGTTTTAATTTTTGAGCCATGTGAATATGTTTCTATTTTAAAAGCAAAAAAAGTGCATTTTTATTATATAAAAATACTATAAATTTTTAAATCAACTAATACACACGGTGTGTGTGATTTAAAAAACAGAACAGCAAGATTTTTTTTTGAGAGAGGAAGAATTAAGAAAAGATTTTCAAAACACCAGTGAACATTTTCCAAACTACCAGAACTCCAAAACAGGTTACTGTAACAAAAAGAAAGGAATGGGCAGGGGAGGGCAAGAGGGCAGGAGGGCAGGAGGGGAGGGGGAGGAAAAGGGGGAGGGAAAGGAGAGGCCGAAGGATTTTTTAAAAACTATTTCCTTAGGGAAGAAAGACTTAAATCACTGTATTTATGCATTAAATAATTCTATAATATGTTGCTTGATACACATTTTTATTTTTAAAAATCTTACTAAATAAGAAATGTTTTTCCAAATGTCCCCTTTATCATCCCTAAATGAGTCCTCTTAAATAGATCTATACATAATAATAAACATGGTAATTGACCGTACCTTTGCTATGCCTCCCATTGGCTAATCAGCACGATATGCAAATTAACCACCAACAAAGATGGCGGCTAATTTGCATACGTAGGCTCCAAGCAGTGGAGCGAAGCCTGACGGCCCAGGGCTGGAGCAGGGAGGCCTCACGTCCCTGGGGCCAGCAGAGCAGCTAAGCCTGACGTTTCTGGGGCCGGCTCCAGCCAGAACTCGGCCAGAGCGAAGAGTTGGGCCCCAGGTGCTGGAGGCAAACTGGTGCCAGCTGCCAGGGGAAAGGAAGGCCTATTGCACAAATCTCTTCATGAAACAGGCCTCTAGTACATTTTATAAAATTACAGATTAACACCAAATGGTAATACTTTTTAAAAAAAAATCTAAACTATTGCCTAAAAAAATAAACTTACTAATTGCATTGCAATCTATAACTTCCCTCTACACTAACCTACCCTGTCTAAATTTGTCACAGGACAGCTGATGTCCCTCTCCTCTCTCACACCAATTACATGTCTTAATCTTCTTTAAAGCACACCAGGTATCTAGAATAACTCACTGACAACCTATAATATTGTTCAATAATCTTATGCTACCATCAGCAACCCATACCTAAACATACAGGGTGTCCCCACCAAAAACTGTATATGCACTTTGAATGACTATAAACTCAGTGTTTATTAACATACAGTTCATTTTCAAAATTTAAAAGAATCTACAGAAATGAACAATTTTTTTCTCAATGCCTGTTTTTAAACTGATAGCCATTCTGGTCCAAGCACTGCTGATAACACAAAGCAATGGAACTGCAAACATTGATAATTTCATTAGGTATGTGTGCCTTCAATCTGTCAACTGTTGCCACTTTTGTACCGTAAATTTCATCTTTTGTGTGTATCCATTTTTAAAAAATCTAGTGGCACTTTAAGATAAATTTTCCTTGTTCAAAGCTTAGTCTGGCTTCACCCATTATTTCCCAAAAAGGAGTGAAAATTAAGTGAGTTATCAGCTGTTCAAATATATATACATTTTGGGGGAGAAATCTTATGAGTATATAGATTCCTAGTAACATTAACCAGATAGATCTCCATAAGTTTTTCATATACATTAACTATAAAATGATTTAAAAGATTAAAAACAAACTATATGTGGTTTTCAGTTGCTGGAGGAGGGGAGAATGGAAAGTTGTTTAACAGGTACAGAGATCAGTTGAGGATGATAAAAAAACTCTAGAGCTGGGTGGCAGTGATGATTGCACAACAACGCAAACATACCAAATGACATGAACCCATATATTTTACCAACATTCTGAGGGATATTATGGGGGCAATTCATAGAGTTGGGTAACAAAATAAATGTGGCAGGAACTAAGGTTTTAAGTACAAATACAAGAATAATTTTTTCATTAACGGAAATAGGGAACAAAGGAGGGAAAGTAAGTTTAAAGATAAAAGAGACACAAGGCAGATTTACAGATGGCAAGATTAAGGTTTATACAGCATGACTATCCAGAAACTAGTGACCCAGTGCATGGATTCATGCAATTGAAAGAAAATTAATTAATTTCAGCTTCAGAGGCATGTTGTGCCAATAGTTGGTCTTCAGATACTTTCTGGCATCGTGTGTGATTGGTGTCAGCGAGAGCTTTATATCTATCACACATGTGCAAGACAACGTTTATTTTTAAATTGCCAGTGCACATCATATGTGCTGGCTGGTTGGTCGGACGGACAGTTGGTCACTTAGCCTTTTATATAGATAGATAGACAGATAGATAGATAGATAGATAGATAGATAGATAGATAGATAGATAATGCTGTGTCTACAGAACTAGTGATTGGATACAAAATTAGAGCTGAAAATACACGTTACCTGGAAGTTGTCAGATTTTAAGAGAAAAAAAATATTAGAAAATGACACTAAGGGAAAAATATAAATCAAAAAATGTTTAAGAAACTATCTATATTTAGAAGGGAAAGAACAACAGCCAAAAGAGGGTACATCAGAGCAGAAGAATCAAGTATAATGCAACAGTGCTCCCTAACATTTTTCATATGAAAGTACATGAATAAGACAACATGTTTGGGTAAGGCTGCTAATATCTGGATATTATTAGCCCAGGAATTAAGGAAATCACTAATATATACATACCAGTTAATCTACTCACTGAACTGCTTAGAAAGCTGGGTGTTTCCCAAAAGCCCATATACCAAAAAGTTTAAGGTTCTACTTCCCTAAAGTGCCTCTTTCAGTAGTCACTCATCAGTTGGGTGGTAGTACGTTGCAGATGTGACAAAGAACAGAACTCAGAAATGATCATCAAACTTTGTAACTAAAAAATCCCTAATGACTTGAAAAATCAAGTGAAAAAAAACTAGATTTCAGGAGGAAAAGAGTGATTAAAGTGGCAACATTTTTACCAGTCATGTTACTCTAAATGGTTATAAGAAGTAACCCAAATAGGATGATTCTTCAAATCCTTCTAGGAAAAACATTCTCTTTTAAAATAAATTATAATTGTAATACGTCCCACCGTATCTTTTTTGTATTCATATTAATAAAAAGGACAAATGAATAAAAGTTCTTTGAAATTTTGCAACACTTACCCAGTGCGAGACTGACCGACTTTATCACAAATATCCAAAATGAGACCCCAATCTTCAGCAGTATTCATCTCACTAGTTGCTTTCTCTGTATATTATAAAGAGAAATTGCAGAAATAGTACCTTATAAAAACCTTTAAAGGGTAAATAATCAGATTCAAATCATCAAATCTAATCTAATAAAAGAGAAATATGCAAAGTGACCATACCTTCGCTATGCCCCAAGCCATGCCCACCAGCCAATCAGAGTGACTATATGCAAATTAACCCAACCAAGATGGTGGCCGACAGCCATGGAGCTGGAGCAAGCAGGAAGCTTGGTTGCCCCGGTGATGGAGGAAGCCAAGCTTCCAGCCTGCCCTGCTGGCCGTAGCCTCCGCTCAAGGCAACAAAGTTTCAATTATAGAAGATAAATAAATCCCAGATACCTGCTTCCAGCCAGCCTCCACTGGGAGCTTGGGTGGCTGGGGACCATGGCCAGCCTGAAAACGACCCTCAGCCCCTCAACCAGGCTGGCCAGGCACCCCAGCGGGGACCCCCACCCTGAGGGGGCTGTGGCCAGCCTGCAAACAGCCATCAGCCCTTCACCCAGGCTGGCCACACCCTCATGGGGTGAGGGTCCCTGCTGGGGGGCTTGGCCAGCCTGCAAACAGCCATCAGCCCCTCACCCAGGCTGGCCCGGCACTCCAGTGGGGACCTCCACCCTGAGGAGGGTGTGGCCAGTCTGAAAACGGCCCTCACCCAGGCTGGCCAGGCACCCCAGCGAGACCCCCACCTGATCCGGGACACCCTTCAGGGCAAACCAGCCGGCCCCTACCCATGCCCCAGGCCTCTATCCTATATAATAAAAGGGTAATATGCAAAATGACCCTAACAGCAGAACGACTGGGAATGACTGGTCACTATGACACACACTGACCACCAGGGGGCAGACGCACAACGCAGGAGCTGCACCCTAGTGGTCAGTGCGCTCCCACAGGGGGAGCTCTGCTCAGCCACAAGCCAGGCTGATGGCTGCCAGTACAACGGTGGTGGTGGGAGCCTCTCCCGCCCCCTCAGCAGTGCTAAGGATGTCGACTGCACCTTAGGCCTGCTTCCCACTGGCAAGTGGACATCCCCCAAGGGCTCCCAGGCTGCCAGAGGGATATCTGACTGCCAGCTTAAGCCCAATCCCCCGGGGGGCAGGCATAAGCCAGCAGGTGGTCATCCCCCGAGCGGCCCCAGACTGCGAGAGGGCACAGGTCGGACTGAGGGATTCCCCCCGCCCAAGTGCACAAATTTTTGTGCACCAGGCCTCTAGTTGTAGTATAATCAAGTATCAACAACAAATCACAATAATTGCCAGCAGTCTGATTAATGAGATGTTCAAGTCCATCTTTAAAAAGAAGGGCACCTTTATTACCTGTCATAATTATTTTCCCCATTCCCATTTCAGTTGCTTTTACTTTGTATAAAAAATATGCCATTGATTTTTCTTTTTTTAAATAATTATATGCAGGTCTATCTCTCCCTGCAGATATCAAAATAAAAATAAGAAATCATTTCATTATCAAATAATTCTTAGCTTTACTTGCCAGTGAAGGAACATAGGCAAATCTCTATAAAATGTTTCAGGGAATTAAATTAATTATTTAGCTTTGATTTTGGGTTCTGATAAGAAGAAACTGAACAAAAGAAAAACAAGCTTTAACTGAATATTCCCCTTAAATAAAAACTTGACAAATTAAAAATATCAAGAGAGGGAAAACATGAGAAGCAATAATAGCAACAATACCTCAAAAGCTATATAACAATGTAGAAGACCAAGAAAAGTGGATCGTATATTGGCAGTAAGAAAAAAAGTGTAAGAACCGGCATGTTTTACACCACTGAATTCTCAGAAAATTCAAATATTGGTAGCAAAAGGAAGTGTGAAATTGAGAGTGAAGAATAAAGATGATTTAAAGTTAGATGTAAATGGGTTAATGCTGTTTGAAATGTAGACAGGTCCTTACTTTGCCTTTCTTACTCAAGGGCTCTAGCAACCACCTCTACTCCTCCTAAAAAAAAAGGAGTGAAGGTTTGTTTTCTGGAGGTAAAGCGAAGATTTTCTAGACAAGGAGACACCCGACATAGTTAAGACACAGGCATCAACTTCTGGTTTCCTGTCCAACATGTCAGGGAGTTAGAAGTCATCTCTCCATTCTAACAAGTAAAGCACTAAAAAAGTGGATAAGAAACAACTTTTCATATATCCCTCAAAGGTGAAGTCACAGAGAAAATTGTTACCCCCCCAAATTAGAAACACAGACAGGTGGATACACAGAATCACAACTTAGAGCAGAAACATCACCAGAAACCACTAGTGGCATGAAAATTTAAACTGTAACAAACTGCTGGGACTAAGTGTGGACAAGTCTGGGCCAAAATGCCAGAGGAAGGAGAACAGTAATTATTGTGAAAGACACCAGAGCATTCTCTTCTTAATAAGACCCACTACTCTCAAGAGAAACTATTTGCCAGCACCTAACCAACTAGGGTTTGGTCAGAGATTAACCCACCTAGGTAAGGGAAATACCTAACTCCAACCCACTGTGGCCACCCTGTTCCACCTGGAGGGATACAGGGGATACTGATCAGCATGTGAGAAATTCACACTCCAGTGGCAAAGGTTCACGACAAGACTGAGACCCAATCACAGGAATATAGAATGCTTTCCCACTGACACCTTACCACCAGACCACTAAGGGCTGGTGTTCATTTTATCTAGTTCATTATGTCTAAGTTTCATTAACGCACACTTATAAAGCAAAAAAGTCTGAAAGACGGAGCAAGTATCAGAACCAGACTCAGACATGGCAGGAATATTGGAATTATCAGACCAGGAATGTTTTAAACTATGATTAATATGCTACGAGTTCTAATGGAATAATGAGACAGCATGCAAGAACAAATGGGCAATGTAAGCAGAGATGAAAATTCTAAAAAATAATCAAAGAAAAATACTAGAGATGAAGAACAGAATAAAATTAACAATGCCATTGATGAGCTCTACAGTAGACTGGACATGATAGAAATTATCTCTAAACTTGAGGATATGTCAATAGAAACTTTGAAAACTGAAAAGCAAAGAGAAAAAAAAGTGACTGAAAGAAACTGAAACAGATTATCCAAGAACTGTGGAAAACTACAAAAGGTGCAACACAGAGGCGAAAAAAAAAAAAAAAAAAAAAAACCAGAAGAAATATTTGAGACAATGATTTAGATCTTCCCCAAATTAGACGCCAAACCACAGGTCCTAGAAGAACTGAGGAAACCAAACACAATAAATGTCAAAATAACAACACCTAGGCATATCATATTCAAACTGCAAAAGATCAAAGATGAAGAATATATAGAAAAAGAAGCCAGCAGGAAAAAAAAAAAAAAAAACAAACACAACACTGTACCTCAATGATTCTCAACCTTCCTAATGCCACAACCCTTTAATACAGTTCCTCATGTTGTGGTGACCCCCAATTTCATTGTTACAAATTTAACATAATTAAAGCATAGTGATTAATCACAAAAACAATATGTAATTATATATGTGTTTTCCAATGCTCTTAAGCGACCCCTGTGAAAGGGTCGTTCAACCCCCAAAGGGGTCGCGACCCACAGGTTGAGAACCGCTGCTGTACCTCTATAGGAATAAACATAATGACATCTGATGCCTCAGAAACCATGCAAACAGGAGAGGAACGGAGTGAATGGCTATGTTGAGAGTAAATAACCACTAACCTAGGATTATGTACCCTGTGAAATTATTCATCAAAAGAAAAGGAGAGCCCTAGCTGGTTCGGCTCAGTGGATAGAGCATCGGCCAGCAGACTTAAGGGTCCCGGGTTCAATTCCAGTCAGGGGCACATGCCTGGGTTGTGGGCTCGATCCCCACTGGCGGGCGTGCAGGAGGCAGCCGATCAATGATTCCCTCTCATATTGATGTTTCTCTCTCTCTCTCTCTCCCCTCTCCCTTCCTTTCTGAAATCAATAAAAAAAATGTTTTAAAAAAAGAGAGAGAAATAAAGACTTTCTCAAACAAAGAAACACTGAGGAAATTTATTATCAATAGAGTGGCCTTTGCAAGAAATGTTAAAAGAAGTTTTTCAAAGGGAGAGGTAAAGGATAGTGTGTGTGTGTGTGTGTGTGTGTGTGTGCGCGCGCGCGCGCGTGTGTGTATAAGTGAAATGAAGATGAATACTATTCAGAAAACTAGTAATAAAAGCGAACTTCTTCAAAATTACAAAGAACATCCACAAAAACCTAATATATTTAATGGTGAGAAACTGAAAGTTTTACTAAAAGGGTTAAAGAGAATAAAACAGGGCAGAGAAAATGTATTGTGCTTAGCAGGTATCTTGCAGAAAGCTTGCAGCCAAGCACTGCACAGCTTAGATAACCAGAAGACACCTGGCATCAGTAGGAACCAAGGACGGACCCGACCCTTACATCAGCAGAACAGCTTGCAGCCAGCAAGGATTAATAAAAACCTGCCTCTCCCTTCAGTCTCTGCTGATTCGTTTTTCGGACTCAACCCACCTGCACCCAAGTGCCTGAAATAATGGCTTCTTTAGATACATTATGGCCTCGTGTCATAGGTGCATGGCCCACTCGGAACCTTTCATTTACCACTGTGGCAAGAATATCCCCACTCACCACACCTTTTCTCCATCATATGGGAAGTCCTAGCTAATACAAAAAAGACAAGAAAATAATACAAAAGGCACACAAATAAAAGAATAAATAAAATTGTCTTTATTCACAGGTAACATAATTGTCTACATGGAAAATCCAAAAGAATCTTTTTTGTTGAAAAAGAAAAAAGCTGGAACTAATAAGTGATTATAACAAGATTGCAGAATACAAGGTTAATTAATATACAAAAGTCAATTGCTGGGAGGGTAAACCAGATGTTGTTTAAGGATATAAACTTTCGACAAGTAGTAAATAAGTCATAGAGATCTAACGCACAGTATCATGAAAACAGACAACAATCTACACTAATAAAAGAGAAACATGGTAATTGGCGTACGACCGCTACCCTTTTCATTGGCTAATCAGCGAGATATG